GCGTGCAGAGCACAATGGATTAGCAGTCCATCGCCTTAACCACTCGGCCACCTTATCACATGTTGGCATGATTTACAACTAATGTCAAAAATAAATGTATTCTTTAAATGCATCAACATTTTTATCGGAGTTTCTAGGAATTTGCCAGTAGGATTGGAAACTTGAGAAATAACGTACAGGAATATGGCGCCATGGCTTAGTTGGTAAAGCGCCTGTCTAGTAAACAGGAGATCCTGGGTTCAAATCCCAGTGGTGCCTCATCGAGATATTTTATGCAATGATTCTGCATGAGTGCATCACGGGTTAATAATCCAAGTAACTATCTGGTAATTGAGTTTGACTTCCATAGAAAAGTTAAGGAGACTTGTTTTTCCATCACAACATTAAATGCCCCTATGGGTGCCAAGTTCAAATCCTGTGCGCTATTTATTTCTAGAAATTGATCATGTATGTATTTGTTTTGTTTGGTAACATGAATGTATTCATTTCCCAATGCGACCTATTTTGAGATTTTCCAATTCAGATGCAATATCCATATTTATACTTGTGAAGTAAACAAGGTGATTGCAACTTTTCATGTGGAGAACGATGGATTTATAGTTTTTCACCTTGAGGATTCAGCCAAATCACTTTTGATTTAAACGTATGCCCAAACTTAATGCGGTATTATTTCTCATCATCACATTTCGTATAGCTGCTAAATTTGTTTGATAATCGCCGATCAGTGACATAAAAATGGCTTCTCTAGATTTTACTCAAAAAAGAGCAAATCGACAAGGATGGGATTCGAACCCATGCGTGCAGAGCACAATGGATTAGCAGTCCATCGCCTTAACCACTCGGCCACCTTATCACATGTTGGCATGATTTACAACTAATGTCAAAAATAAATGTATTCTTTAAATGCATCAACATTTTTATCGGAGTTTCTAGGAATTTGCCAGTAGGATTGGAAACTTGAGAATTAACGTACAGGAATATGGCGCCATGGCTTAGTTGGTAAAGCGCCTGTCTAGTAAACAGGAGATCCTGGGTTCAAATCCCAGTGGTGCCTCATCGAGATATTTTATGCAATGATTCTGCATGAGTGCATCACGGGTTAATAATCCAAGTAACTATCTGGTAATTGAGTTTGACTTCTATAGAAAAGTTAAGGAGACTTGTTTTTCCATCACAACATTAAATGCCCCTATGGGTGCCAAGTTCAAATCCTGTGCGCTATTTATTTCTAGAAATTGATCATGTATGTATTTGTTTTGTTTGGTAACATAAATGTATTCATTTCCCAATGCGACCTATTTTGAGATTTTCCAATTCAGATGCAATATCCATATTTATACTTGTGAAGTAAACAAGGTGATTGCAACTTTTCATGTGGAGAACGATGGATTTATAGTTTTTCACCTTGAGGATTCAGCCAAATCACTTCTGATTTAAACGTATGACCAAACTTAATGCGGTATTATTTCTCATCTTCACATATCATATAGCTGCTAAATTTGTTAGATAATCGCCGAATAGTGACATAAAAATGACATCTCTAGATTTCACTCGAAAAAGAGAAAATGGACAAAGATGGGATTCGAACCCATTCATGCAGAGCACAATGGATTAGCAGTCCATCGCCTGAACCACGCGGCCACCTTATCACATTTTGCAATGGTGCATAACTAATCTCAAAAAATATATTCGTTCTAGGCATCACCTTTCTTTAATGCATCAACATTTTTATCGGAGTTTCTATGAATTTGCCAGTAGGATTGGAGACTTGAGAAATAACATGCAGGATTATGGCGCCAGGGCTTAGTTGGTAAAGTGCCTGTCTAGTAAACAGGAGATCCTGGGTTCAAATCCCAGTAGTGCCTCATTAAGATATTTTACGCTATGATTATGCATGAGTGCATCACGGGTTAATAATCCAAGTAACTATCTGCTAATTGAGTTTGACTTCTATAGAAAAGTTAAGGATACTTGTTTTTCCATCACAACATTAAATGCCGCTATGGGTGCCAAGTTCAAATCCTGTGCGCTATTTATTTCTAGAAATTGATCATGTATGTATTTGTTTTGTTTGGTAACATGAATGTATTCATTTCCCAATGCGACCTATTTTGAGATTTTCCAATTCAGATGCAATACCCATATTCATACTTGTGAAGTAAACAAGGTGATTGTAAACTATTTATGTGGAGAACGATGGATTTATAGTTTTTCACCTTGAGGATTCAGCCAAATCACTTCTGATTTAAACGTATGACCAAACTTAATGCGGTATTATTTCTCATCATCACATTTCGTATAGCTGCTAAATTTGTTTGATAATCGCCGATCAGTGACATAAAAATGGCTTCTCTAGATTTTACTCTAAAAAGAGCAAATCGACAAGGATGGGATTCGAACCCATGCGTGCAGAGCACAATGGATTAGCAGTCCATCGCCTTAACCACTCGGCCACCTTATCACATGTTGCGATGATTCAAAACTAATGTCAAAAATAAATGTATTCTTTTAATGCATCAACATTTTTATCGGAGTTTCTATGAATTTGCCAGTAGGATTGGAAACTTGAGAAATAACGTACAGGAATATGGCGCCATGGCTTAGTTGGTAAAGCGCCTGTCTAGTAAACAGGAGATCCTGGGTTCAAATCCCAGTGGTGCCTCATTGAGATATTTTATGCTGTTATTCTGCATGAGTGCATCATGGGTTAATAATCCAAGTAACTATCTGGTAATTGAGTTTGACTTCCATAGAAAAGTTAAGAAATCTTGTTTTTCCATCACAACATTAAATGCCCCTATGGGTGCCAAGTTCAAATCCTGTGCGCTATTTATTTCTAGAAATTGATCATGTATGTATTTGTTTTGTTTGGTAACATAAATGTATTCATTTCCCAATGCGACCTATTTTGAGATTTTCCAATTCAGATGCAATATCCATATTTATACTTGTGAAGTAAACAAGGTGATTGCAACTATTCATGTGGAGAACGATGGATTTATAGTTTTTCACCTTCAGGATTCAGCCAAATCACTTCTGATTTAAACGTATGACCAATCTTAATGCGGTATTATTTCTCATCATCACATTTCGTATAGCTGCTAAATTTGTTTGATAATCGCCGATCAGTGACATAAAAATGGCTTCTCTAGATTTTACTCAAAGAAGAGCAAATCGACAAGGATGGGATTCGAACCCATGCGTGCAGAGCACAATGGATTAGCAGTCCATCGCCTTAACCACTCGGCCACCTTATCACATGTTGCCATGATTTATAACTAATGTCAAAAATAAATGTATTCTTTAAATGCATCAACATTTTTATCGGAGTTTCTAGGAATTTGCCAGTAGGATTGGAAACTTGAGAAATAACGTACAGGAATATGGCGCCATGGCTTAGTTGGTAAAGCGCCTGTCTAGTAAACAGGAGATCCTGGGTTCAAATCCCAGTGGTGCCTCATTGAGATATTTTATGCAATGATTCTGCATGAGTGCATCACGGGTTAATAATCCAAGTAACTATCTGGTAATTGAGTTTGACTTCTATAGAAAAGTTAAGGAGACTTGTTTTTCCATCACAACATTAAATGCCCCTATGGGTGCCAAGTTCAAATCCTGTGCGCTATTTATTTCTAGAAATTGATCATGTATGTATTTGTTTTGTTTGGTAACATAAATGTATTCATTTCCCAATGCGACCTATTTTGAGATTTTCCAATTCAGATGCAATATCCATGTTTATACTTGTGGAGTAAACAAGGTGATTGCAACTATTCATGTGGAGAACGATGGATTTATAGTTTTTCACCTTCGGGATTCAGCCAAATCACCTCTGATTTAAACGTATGACCAATCTTAATGCGGTATTATTTCTCATCATCACATTTCGTATAGCTACTCAATTTGTTTGATAATCGCCGATCATGTGACATAAAAATGGCTTCTCTAGATTTCTACTCTAAAACGAGGCAAATCGACTAAGGATGGGACTTCGAACCCACTGCGTGCAGAGCACAATGGATTAGCAGTCCATCGCCTTAACCACTCGGACACCTTCTCACATGTTGCCATGATTCATAACTAATCTCAAAAATATATTCGTTCTAGGCATCACATTTCTTTAATGCATCAACATTTTTATCGGAGTTTCTAGGAATTTGCCAGTAGGATTGGAAACTTGAGAAATAACGTACAGGAATATGGCGCCATGGCTTAGTTGGAAAAGCGCCTGTCTAGTAAACAGGAGATCCTGGGATTCAAATCCCAATGGTGCCTCATTGAGATATTTTATGCAATGATTCTGCATGAGTGCATCACGGGTTAATAATCCAAGTAACTATCTGGTAATTGAGTTTGACTTCTATAGAGAAGTTAAGGATACTTGTTTTTCCATCACAACATTAAATGCCGCTATGGGTGCCAAGTTCAAATCCTGTGCGCTATTTATTTCTAGAAATTGATCATGTATGTATTTGTTTTGTTTGGTAACATGAATGTATTCATTTCCCAATGCGACCTATTTTGAGATTTTCCAATTCAGATGCAATATCCATATTTATACTTGTGAAGTAAACAAGGTGATTGTAAACTATTTATGTGGAGAACGATGGATTTATAGTTTTTCACCTTGAGGATTCAGCCAAATCACTTCTGATTTAAACGTATGACCAATCTTAATGCGGTATTATTTCTCATCATCACATTTCGTATAGCTGCTAAATTTGTTTGATAATCGCCGATCAGTGACATAAAAATGGCTTCTCTAGATTTCACTCTAAAAAGAGCAAATCGACAAGGATGGGATTCGAACCCATGCGTGCAGAGCACAATGGATTAGCAGTCCATCGCCTTAACCACTCGGCCACCTTATCACATGTTGCCATGATTCATAACTAATGTCAAAAATAAATGTATTCTTTTAATGCATCAACATTTTTATCGGAGTTTCTATGAATTTGCCAGTAGGATTGGAAACTTGAGAATAACGCGAACAGGAATATGGCGCCATGGCTTAGTTGGTAAAGCGCCTGTCTAGTATAACTAGGAGATCCTGGGTTCAAATCCCAGTGGTGCCTCATTGAGATATTTTATGCAATGATTCTGCATGAGTGCATCATGGGTTAATAATCCAAGTAACTATCTGGTAATTGAGTTTGACTTCCATAGAAAAGTTAAGGAGTACTTGTTTTTCCATCACAACATTAAATGCCCCTATGGGTGCCAAGTTCAAATCCTGTGCTTATTTATTTTTAGAAATTGAAATTGTAATTATTTGTTTTGTTTGGTAACATAAATGTATACATTTCCCAATGCGACCGTATTTTGAGATTTTCCAATTCAGATGCAATATCCATATTTATACTTGTGAAGTAAACAAGGTGATTGCAACTATTCATGTGGAGAACGATGGATTTATAGTTTTTCACCTTGAGGATTCAGCCAAATCACTTCTGATTTAAACGTATGACCAAACTTAATGCGGTATTATTTCTCATCATCACATTTCGTATAGCTGCTAAATTTGTTTGATAATCGCCGATCAGTGACATAAAAATTGCTTCTCTAGATTTCACTCTAAAAAGAGCAAATCGACAAGGATGGGATTCGCACCCATGCGTGCAGAGCACAATGGATTAGCAGTCCATCGCCTTAACCACTCGGCCACCTTATCACATGTTGGCATGATTTACAACTAATGTCAAAAATAAATGTATTCTTTAAATGCATCAACATTTTTATCGGAGTTTCTAGGAATTTGCCAGTAGGATTGGAAACTTGAGAATTAACGTACAGGAATATGGCGCCATGGCTTAGTTGGTAAAGCGCCTGTCTAGTAAACAGGAGATCCTGGGTTCAAATCCCAGTGGTGCCTCATCGAGATATTTTATGCAATGATTCTGCATGAGTGCATCACGGGTTAATAATCCAAGTAACTATCTGGTAATTGAGTTTGACTTCCATAGAAAAGTTAAGGAGACTTGTTTTTCCATCACAACATTAAATGCCCCTATGGGTGCCAAGTTCAAATCCTGTGCGCTATTTATTTCTAGAAATTGATCATGTATGTATTTGTTTTGTTTGGTAACATGAATGTATTCATTTCCCAATGCGACCTATTTTGAGATTTTCCAATTCAGATGCAATATCCATATTTATACTTGTGAAGTAAACAAGGTGATAGCAACTTTTCATGTGGAGAACGATGGATTTATAGTTTTTCACCTTGAGGATTCAGCCACATCACCTCTGATTTAAACGTATGACCAATCTTAATGCGGTATTATTTCTCATCATCACATTTCGTATAGCTGCTAAATTTGTTTGATAATCGCCGATCAGTGACATAAAAATGGCTTCTCTAGATTTTACTCAAAAAAGAGCAAATCGACAAGGATGGGATTCGAACCCATGCGTGCAGAGCACAATGGATTAGCAGTCCATCGCCTTAACCACTCGGCCACCTTATCACATGTTGGCATGATTTACAACTAATGTCAAAAATAAATGTATTCTTTAAATGCATCAACATTTTTATCGGAGTTTCTATGAATTTGCCAGTAGGATTGGAAACTTGAGAATTAACGTACAGGAATATGGCGCCATGGCTTAGTTGGTAAAGCGCCTGTCTAGTAAACAGGAGATCCTGGGTTCAAATCCCAGTGGTGCCTCATCGAGATATTTTATGCAATGATTCTGCATGAGTGCATCACGGGTTAATAATCCAAGTAACTATCTGGTAATTGAGTTTGACTTCCATAGAAAAGTTAAGGAGACTTGTTTTTCCATCACAACATTAAATGCCCCTATGGGTGCCAAGTTCAAATCCTGTGCGCTATTTATTTCTAGAAATTGATCATGTATGTATTTGTTTTGTTTGGTAACATGAATGTATTCATTTCCCAATGCGACCTATTTTGAGATTTTCCAATTCAGATGCAATATCCATATTTATACTTGTGAAGTAAACAAGGTGATTGCAACTATTCATGTGGAGAACGATGGATTTATAGTTTTTCACCTTGAGGATTCAGCCAAATCACTTTTGATTTAAACGTATGCCCAAACTTAATGCGGTATTATTTCTCATCATCACATTTCGTATAGCTGCTAAATTTGTTTGATAATCGCCGATCAGTGACATAAAAATGGCTTCTCTAGATTTTACTCAAAATAGAGCAAATCGACAAGGATGGGATTCGAACCCATGCGTGCAGAGCACAATGGATTAGCAGTCCATCGCCTTAACCACTCGGCCACCTTATCACATGTTGCCATGATTCATTACTAATGTAAAAAATAAATGTATTCTTTTAATGCATCAACATTTTTATCGGAGATTCTATGAATTTGCCAGTAGGATTGGAAACTTGAGAAAACGCGAATAGGAATATGGCGCCATGGCTTAGTTGGTAAAGCGCCTGTCTAGTAAACAGGAGATCCTGGGTTCAAATCCCAATGGTGCCTCATTGAGATATTTTATGCAATGATTCTGCATGAGTGCATCACGGGTTAATAATCCAAGCAACCATCTAGTAATTGAGTTTGACTTCGATAGAGAAGTTAAGGAGACTTGTTTTTTCCATCACAACATTAAATGCCCCTATGGGTGCCAAGTTCAAATCCTGTGCTTTATTTATTTTGAGAAATTGAAAATGTAAGAATTTGTTTTGTTTGGTAACATAATGTATACATTTCCCAATGCGACCGAATTTTGAGATTTTCCAATTCAGATGCAATATCCATATTTATACTTGTGAAGTAAACAAGGTGATTGTAAACTGTTCACGTGGAGAACGATGGATTTATAGTTTTTCACCTTCAGGAATCAGCCAAATCACCTCTGATTTAAACGTAAGACCAATTTTAATGCAGTATGTTTTCTCATCATCACATTTCGTACAGCTGCTCAATTTGTTTATACAATCGCCGATCTGTGACATAAAAATGGCTTTTCTAGATTTCTCTCTAAAACGAGGCAAATCGATACGGATGGGACTCGAACCCACGCGTGCAGAGCACAATGGATTAGCAGTCCATCGCCTTAACCACTCGGACACCTTCTCACATGTTGCCATGATTCATAACTAATCTCAAAAATATATTCGTTCTAGGCATCACATTTCTTTATTGCATCAACATTTTTATCGGAGTTTCTATGAATTTGCCAGTAGGATTGGAAACTTGAGAAATAACGTACAGGAATATGGCGCCATGGCTTAGTTGGAAAAGCGCCTGTCTAGTAAACAGGAGATCCTGGGATTCAAATCCCAATGGTGCCTCATTGAGATATTTTATGCAATGATTCTGCATGAGTGCATCACGGGTTAATAATCCAAGCAACCATCTAGTAATTGAGTTTGACTTCGATAGAGAAGTTAAGGAGACTTGTTTTTTCCATCACAACATTAAATGCCCCTATGGGTGCCAAGTTCAAATCCTGTGCTTTATTTATTTTGAGAAATTGAAAATGTAAGAATTTGTTTTGTTTGGTAACATAATGTATACATTTCCCAATGCGACCGAATTTTGAGATTTTCCAATTCAGATGCAATATCCATATTCATACTTGTGAAGTAAACAAGGTGATTGCAACTTTTCATGTGGAGAACGATGGATTTATAGTTTTTCACCTTGAGGATTCAGCCACATCACCTCTGATTTAAACGTATGACCAATCTTAATGCGGTATTATTTCTCATCATCACATTTCGTATAGCTGCTAAATTTGTTTGATAATCGCCGATCAGTGACATAAAAATGGCTTCTCTAGATTTTACTCAAAATAGAGCAAATCGACAAGGATGGGATTCGAACCCATGCGTGCAGAGCACAATGGATTAGCAGTCCATCGCCTTAACCACTCGGCCACCTTATCACATGTTGCCATGATTTACAACTAATGTCAAAAATAAATGTATTCTTTTAATGCATCAACATTTTTATCGGAGATTCTATGAATTTGCCAGTAGGATTGGAAACTTGAGAAATAACGTACAGGAATATGGCGCCATGGCTTAGTTGGTAAAGCGCCTGTCTAGTAAACAGGAGATCCTGGGTTCAAATCCCAGTGGTGCCTCATCGAGATATTTTATGCAATGATTCTGCATGAGTGCATCACGGGTTAATAATCCAAGTAACTATCTGGTAATTGAGTTTGACTTCCATAGAAAAGTTAAGGAGACTTGTTTTTCCATCACAACATTAAATGCCCCTATGGGTGCCAAGTTCAAATCCTGTGCGCTATTTATTTCTAGAAATTGATCATGTATGTATTTGTTTTGTTTGGTAACATGAATGTATTCATTTCCCAATGCGACCTATTTTGAGATTTTCCAATTCAGATGCAATATCCATATTTATACTTGTGAAGTAAACAAGGTGATAGCAACTTTTCATGTGGAGAACGATGGATTTATAGTTTTTCACCTTGAGGATTCAGCCACATCACCTCTGATTTAAACGTATGACCAATCTTAATGCGGTATTATTTCTCATCATCACATTTCGTATAGCTGCTAAATTTGTTTGATAATCGCCGATCAGTGACATAAAAATGGCTTCTCTAGATTTTACTCAAAGAAGAGCAAATCGACAAGGATGGGATTCGAACCCATGCGTGCAGAGCACAATGGATTAGCAGTCCATCGCCTTAACCACTCGGCCACCTTATCACATGTTGGCATGATTTACAACTAATGTCAAAAATAAATGTATTCTTTAAATGCATCAACATTTTTATCGGAGTTTCTATGAATTTGCCAGTAGGATTGGAAACTTGAGAATTAACGTACAGGAATATGGCGCCATGGCTTAGTTGGTAAAGCGCCTGTCTAGTAAACAGGAGATCCTGGGTTCAAATCCCAGTGGTGCCTCATCGAGATATTTTATGCAATGATTCTGCATGAGTGCATCACGGGTTAATAATCCAAGTAACTATCTGGTAATTGAGTTTGACTTCCATAGAAAAGTTAAGGAGACTTGTTTTTCCATCACAACATTAAATGCCCCTATGGGTGCCAAGTTCAAATCCTGTGCGCTATTTATTTCTAGAAATTGATCATGTATGTATTTGTTT